TCAACTCCTCTAGTAATAGAAAGCTCTAACTGGGCTATGTGGTCCTCACAAGCCACACTGAAAATCTTAGGAGGCTTAAAAAAAAAAAACTTTTTTAAAAAAATCTCTCCTGGTAATGGATTGAACTGAAATCAGAACCCACCTGACATGCAAGTCTAGCCTACTTTAGGTAGCTGTACCACTGAGGTACCCTCCCATCCCCTATTATGCAACTCTAAGGGTCCATCTCCCACCTCCTCAAACCTTAAATTATTTATTTATTCATTTATTTATTTTTAGTTAGAGATGGATGTTATAGTTAAAGATTCATCTCAGGGTTTCATAAACTGACTTCCAGACCACTCACATATAATTGAATCAAGCCTTAATTGAAGCACACTGCTGGTGGCTGACCAGAACATAAAGCCATTCCCCTGATCAGCCCCGAACAATTGCAAGGGCACTCCTGAAAAAAAAAGCCTGAAAACTGCAAAAGGGATGTTCAGGGGGTCCAGCCAATGCAAGCAAGCCAGGTTACAGAAACAGGAGAGTGCAGTCAAGTGGAGGGAAGCCTAAACAATCAGTTAGCCCAGTCACCCCAGTTACAGAAACAGAGCCCCGTTACCCTAGTTACAGAAACAATACCCCAATTAGGTAGTTTTGTGTTCTTAAAGATTTCTATAGCAAAAGGAAAAGAACATCTTGCCCCAGTCATGGCTCTTCTACTTGACATGGTTGTTTTACAGGATGAAGTCATAAAACAAAATGGAGTCACATTTGCTCCTACTATCACATGGACACAATAATTTTGTCTTATTTATTCTTACATGGTGCTGAGAATCAAACCCAGTGCCTCACACGTGCTAGGCAAGAACTCTACCATTAAGTGACAACCACACCCCCACCTCCTGATACTTTGGGTCTCCCAAGAACTGATCAGAGATGAAGAGTAATACATGACAGAATAAGCCTTCAAGTCATTAAAAACAATCTGATCTTCCTTTGAACTTTAAGCTGGCATGCTGGCTTGTTTGTAGACTGGGGTCTCTATGTGGTTGGGTCACAAATTCATCTCAAGTGATCTTTCCTCCAGCGACAGGCTTCTGCCACTAAACCAAGCTTTATCATTTCCTTTCAGCAGAAGAGCTCTGAGTTCAAAATCTGTGGTACTAGATAGTCCATTAAGGGGGGAGAATGGAATGCATCTACTGTGGTTCGTTTTCTTTTCCTTGGGGGCAGGGTGGATTGGTATTTCTTTAGTTTCTTTGTTGTAGGTCCCAAAGAAACCAACCCAGGGGATCTGGCACACTAAGCTCCTTTAAACTCTATCTTGACTGTGCTGTTTCCAACACTGCTGGCTGTCATGTTTTTGTTGTTGTTATTTTTGATTGTTTGTTTTGTTATTGTTGTTATTGTTCTTTGGACTTCCAGCTCTGGCTGAGGAAGAAAAAATAGAGCCCTTTGGGGGGCATGGGGGGCAAGCTGGGCTTCTTTCTGGTTCTTTGTTTCTACAGTTCTTTCCTCACTGGGTCTGCAGAGCCCATTCCTTTGGCTGTGGTTTTGCTGGATAGTACATAGAGAAAGTGGGAATCTTTTTCATCTATTCATGCATCACTAATTAGAAGAGGAGGCATTTGAGGGCCTTAAGATTATCATAGTTACTCCCTCCGTTTAACTGCACTTCACTGAATTTCTTCACTTTGACATTCAGAGGACTGGGCAGAAATCACATGGAGTTAACACCCCTAGCAGGCCCTCTCAATGCTTTGTGCTTTTATTTTTTCTGGTAGGGGAGGGTGTGAGGTCCAGCAATGGATGTTAACCAAAGGAGACAGATTTTAAAAGGCCGCTGAATGAGGCTTTATTTGAGATGATGCTCTAGGGCAGAACTTTATCAGACAGAGTAAACAGGACAAGTGTCACAGGAGAAAACGGGTGGGAGCTCCATGGGACTGGGGCTTACGGCAAGAAGGGAAGGCCTTGGGACAGGAAAAGGTATTTTGAGTCCCTTCTCCTGGTAAAGTTGGTTGGTGGAACTGGATGAAATCCAGGATTGGCCAGAAGACTCTGCTGATTGACACGTGTTTCTTTCCCATACTCAGGCTGCTTGGTTCTTTGTTCCTAAGTAACCACCACCGACCTGACAGAGGGTACCAGGGATTGAATTTAGGGGCACTGTACCACTGAGTCACATCCCCAGCCCTGTTTTGTATGTTATTTAAAAACAGGATCTCACTGAGTTGCTTAGCGCCCTCGCTTTTAGTTGAGGCTAACTTTGAACTCCTCCTGCCTAACCCCCTCCACCCGCCCCTCAACACAACTGCTAGGGGAAGCTTTGTTTTAAAGAGTCTTCACTAGTTTTAAGCTGCCAGCACCTGGGGATGTAGGACCCAGATGGAAACTGCAGCTCAGATTGGACCCTGCAAAGTAGACTGGCCCTGCAATTCAACCCAACTTCTGGATTCTCCTGGGGTGGAGGTATGGGGGACGCAGAAAGGAAAATATCCTGCGGGGGAGGGGAGGGCTGGGGGGCTGGGATGGGCAAGGCAGGGATGGAGCTCCTCCATACCTTCCCTTCGCCCACCTGGGGTTCCCCATCTAGGGTCACTCCAGTGCAGCTGCCACACCCCCGCCCTCAGAGCCACAGGGCACTCTTCAGTATTCTCTTCAGGATCCCCAAGGGCGGCTGCAGTGCCACTGCAGCTGGGGCGGTCCAGGGGAAGAGCCTAGCTCATGTCTAAGGTCACCACCCAGCCCTCTGCAACTGCGGACTCCCCAAGCCCCCAGGAGACCACCTTCATCCACCAGAGCTCCCAGTACTCTCTGCACTACCTTCACCATGGGAGAGAGGGGAAAAACATGTCCATTTTATAATAAACCTCAGTGGCAGAGAGGTGAAAATAGGACAAGGGGAGCCGCTTGGTGATGGGGGAGGTACTGTGGGGGCAGGAGAGCAAGCCTTTGGTGGTGTCTGGACTGGAAGGCATGCTGCCATTTTTTGGAGGAATTGTGGGTGCGGGCAGCACCACCCACAACCTCAGTACTTACCCAGCTGGGCTTTGTCCCAGCCTGACTTGTGCAGCCCTTAGAACCAATTTGGCATGCACTGCTTCCGGAGATCTACAACACTGGGGAAGGGGAAAGTTGGACCCATCTCTGTGAGAAAAGAGGGAGAGCGAGTGCCCCATAGGCCCCTCCACATGGATACTTCCCAGCCGTCCCAGGGCAAAAAAGTTAATATTAAATATTCATTAAACAAACTTCCATGCTTTCACCATAATCACAGGGACACTCCACATAAAATGTTTAAATGGATTAAATGTATTACACCTTGTGGCTGTGGGTTGTGGCTCAGGGGTAGAGTGCTTGCCTAGCATGTGTGAGGCTCTGATTTGAATCCAAAAAACCACATGAAAATAAATAAAATAAAGGTATTGTGTCCAACTACAACTAAAAAATAAATATGTTTTTAAAAAGCCATAGGGCAGGCTTTCTCAAAATACGTCCAAACAGGCTATGGATTTTCTGAAGCTGCAATCACTGGAGCAATTGTAAATTTAAAAGGGCCATGGGTTGGGCTGGGGTTGTGGCTCAGTGGTAGAATGCTTGCCTATCATGTGTGAGGCCCTGGGTTTGATCCTCAACATCACATAAAAGTACATAAATAAAATAAAGGTTTTGTATCCAATTATAACTAAAATATAAATATTTTTCCAAAACACAGTCCATGGGTCTAGTGATATCGTTCAGTAGGAGAGCACTTCTGCTGCCCCCAACCTGTGTAGGCAGCTGAATTTAAGTTTGTTCGTGTAAATTTCTGGGAATATCAAATAAGGATGAACACAATGTCTATTTTACTTTATGTGGTGCTGAGGATCAAACCCAATGCCTCACACAAACTAGACTTGCACTCTACCTCTGAGCCCAAATCGCAGCCCATGCCCTATGACTTTGTGATCTGCAGAAAGCATTTCAGTTTATGGCTTTCCTCCCTTCCATACCAATTGTCTTCATTTCCTTAAGTTTTTTTAAACAAATTTAATGTTATATTCTTTATATCTTTATATTTTTATTTTTATGTGGTACTGAGGATCAAACCCAGTGTGTCACACATGCTAGTCAAGATCTCTACCACTGAGCTACAACCTGATTCCTCCTTAACTTTTTTATAGTTGTAGGTGGACACAATAAATTTCTTTTATTTATTTTTTAATGTGATACTGAAAAT